CAGGGTTAGATCAAGACCGGAAAGATGGCTGGTCCTATCATAGTGTGGAGCTAACAGCTGAAGATAATTGAAGTTAAGGAATTTCCCAAGAGACAAACTCTAGAGACAGAAGGACAGAAGACCAAGAACTAGATCAGGTGAGATAGCCATAGTCTTGAGGAGAAATATGAGAGCAAGGAGTAAAGGTCACTAAGGCAGAAGAGACAGGAAATCTAGAGAGGTCTAGAGAAAGGATAATTTGGGGATGGAGGATGTGATCAATGCTGAAAGAGACCCTGAGTCCAGGGAGGAAGAGCACTGAGAAAAGGTCTAGATTTGAAAAAATGAATCCTTTGAGAACAGTTTGAATAGAGTGGAATGAACAGAAACAGGCAGGAATTCACCAGGCTAAGTCAGTTCAGCAGCCTTTATACCCCATTGCCCTGGTTGATTTCGACTCGTAGCGACCCTATAGGACACAGTAGAACTGCTCCATAGGGTTTCCAAGGAGCGCCTGGTGGATTTGAACTGCTGGCCTGTAAGAGTGTGTAAATTCTCCAAGTTCTTTCCTTTTTCTTCTCCCTGCTACATGTCTTTTGACTTTTGCTTTGTGTCCACAAGCAGGTTCAATACATAAAGGGAAATTAAACTAGTTGCTAAAATCTATTAAATGTTTAGAGAAGGAATGATATGAAAACAAGAGTTAAAATGTACCTTTACCGACTGTGTGGATGTTTTATTTATTCATGTCTTATCTGATCCTCAGTATTAGAAATCACTATGAGTTTATTTTAAGCCTCAATAATCCATGGGGTCTCTATGCCTTCATCTAAAAAGAAAAGTGTCATCTATCAACCCAGGCCTGCTACCCAATCTCTAGCTATTACAGAATTCGACTGATATTTTTTCAAAACCACATCACCTGTTTGTTGAGTCCTGCGTTGCATGCTTCTAGGATTATAAGAGAAAAACAGTGAAAGAGAAAAGAAGGAATTTCCTTTCCTGCCTATTTAATTAATAAGAACCTGTTAAAGGACTTAGCACAACGCTTTGCCCATAAGACTCAAGAAAGTCCCATTTTGTTAGGTTAAATACAAATATATAAAAATCCACCACCATCATCAGAGTTTCTCCAAAGCAAACTTTTTCCTCCTAAAGACTTCTCATTCTCATCATTTCTCCACATTGATCAGACGGAGGAGAAGTATCACCACCCTCACCATCTACCCTTCACTAGCCCCGCCTCCCTGCCACTCCAGATCTTGGCCCACCAAGATACTCCACCCTCTGTCTCTAAAATTACTCACATTGCCTCAGGGAGTGTTGTAACTACACTATTATCCTTTCATGCCCTGGTTTTGTGCTTTTGTTCTGTCTATATCTCTGGCAAATCATCATCCCAGCTGACATTTACATCCCATAAACATTCAGTTTGCAAGGCACTTTCACACACATTCTCTCACTGGAGACCCCAACAACACTTTGAGGCATATAACAATAGGACGTTACCCATTTCACAAACGAAGAAACTAAGACTTAAAGAGGTAACAACTCCAAGTTGACCAACTTAACAATTGGCCCAACAAAGATCTTCCCGTTCATGGTCCAGGATTCTTCCCATTGTAACCAGTTGCCATTGTCTCAGTCCCGACTCATGGCAACCTCATCTGTGTCGGAGCAGAACTGGGCTCCATAGGGTTTTCAATGGCTGACTTTTGAGAAGGAAATTACTAGGCCTTTCTTCTGAGGCAGTTCTGGGTGGACTTGGATTCCAACCTTTCGGTTAGCAGCCAAGCGCACTAACAATTTACACCACCCAGGGACTCCTCTCTTCCCATTACAGAAACCTGTTGCCGTCAAGTCGATTCCAATGCATAGCAACCCTATAGGGCAGAGTAGAACTGCCCCGTAGGGTTTCAAACTGCCAACCTTTATGGTTAGCAGCCGTAGCTCTTAACCACTTCGCCACCAGGGCTCCCATTATACAGCTGCCTAATATGGAGCAGCCTGAGGGGGAGAATTCTGAGCACATATTTCCTCCTTATTTAAGGGGCCATCTCTCTCCTCTCCACCCACCCGAAAGCTAGCCTCCTTCCATCTGTGGTTTAACTCCTCTCTCCACCATAAAACTCTCCTAGATCACGAGCTCCTCTAACTTTCATAGTGTTTACTCTACTCTATTCCTTACGACTATCACATCGCGTGTTTCACACGTGTGTTTTGTTTCCCCGGTAAATTAGTAAGATACTTCAAGGGGTTATTTTTTCTTTTTTAGTATTTATTTTATATTTTCCACAATGCCTAGTATACAGCAAAGTCTCAACCAAGTTTTGCTGAATTAGGGTGAATCAGAGAACATAAGAGAATTTCTATGTTTAAGAAATCATCTGTCAATACCACTTGCAATCAGGTAACTCAGACTTTCTTCTGAGTGATGATGCTGTCAGGCTCAAAACCACCTGGGGAGCAGGTGGAGACTAGAGACCCAAACCAGTGTCCAGGACCTCCAGGCACCAAAACAAAGTTGCAAAAAAAGCAAATCAATTGAAGATAATCCATCTTTCTAAAAGATCACTGTTGTCAACTGCTATCTTACTCCCCAAAACTTTTCTCTTCAAAATGACTTTGGGGGGAAGAAGGAGAGTCAGGAACAGGAGAAGGAAATGGAATGTGTGGCTAATTGTTTCCATGAACAACTGCCTCCTTTGCCATGAGACCAGAAGAACTGGAGAGTGTCTGGCTACCATTACTGAATATTTTGATCAAAGATTCTGTAGAAGAATCCTGATCAAGAAGGGGGAAATGCAGAACAGAATTTCAAATTCTCATGGAAACTGGCCTTGCTGGAGGCATGGACTCTGAACGAATCCCTGAAACTATTGCCCTGAGATAATCTTTAAACCTTAAACCAAAAATATCCCCTAAAGTCTTCTTAAAACCAAGCAATAGTTTAGCTTAACTAGTAAAGAATATCTGCCTTGAGCATTATGCTCTTTTAAGATCTATCTATATGGGATTAAATTGACAACAGCAACTCGGAAGTTTACATAGAAATTTTAGGGGGAAGTGAGTGTATGTCAGTGAGGGAAGAGAGGAGGAGGCTGAGAATGGTTGCACAACTCAGAGTGTAATCAATATCACCGAATTGTACATGTAGAAACTTTTGAGCTGGTGCATGTTTTGATGTGTATATTTTTAACAACAACAAACATCAAAATAAATAAATAAATTATTTTTAAAAATTCACTCTGGAGGCCACTCTCTACCATAATTTTCCTCTTTCATTATCTTTATTTGCTTTGCTTTATGTGAAGGCCAATCACTTTTTAGTTGAAAGTCTGTTGTTAGACTCATCGATTCCTTGCACTATTAGTTAATTCTGAATATTAGAATTTTTCCATGATCTAGTATCAAGAAGACAAGAGCTCTCTTTACTTATCCATTCTTTATTCCTTCAAAAAGTTTGACTACTGTACATCTAAATGGTGAATTATTATATCTAAAATATATAATGTGTTAGGAATATAATTTTAATATACCAAAGCACATGTTTATTCCATTTTTGTTAAATACACACATATACAAAGAAAAAGGAAAAAGTATTAAAGATTTTACACCAAAATGTTAATTTTGATGATTTCAGTGTGGTAGGATCGTGAGAGATATTTATCTTCTCCTTGCTTATCTACATTATTGGCACTAAACATGCAGTATGTGTGTACCAAAGAAAAATCATCATTTTTTAAAATGTAAGCAGGAAATATAGCACAGTTGATAGCATGAATTTAATACAAGATTGAATTAAAAGCATTTACATAAACAGATTCATCCTTCCCCTCCCTTATCTAATTTAATAATTACTAACATTTTTTTCAAGAACTTTATCTGGTCTTACAATAAACAGAAGGCATGAATGGAGGCTAGTCAAAGACATCTCAAAATCCTGCCTTCCTGCCTTTGAAATATCTCCTTTGTCTTCCCCTTTTCAATCTGAATCCTTGGAAGCAAATGCCCCCTTTGCTCTCAGCCCAACCCTCCTCAGCTTTAATCTGGAAATGTCTTGAGGAATGGGAGTTTCCTCAATGCTCAGACAAGTCTGTGCCAAGAACTCCTAAAACACCATCCACCCAAACAAACATCCACCAGCCTAAACAGGGTTAGACTGAGCTCCACTCACTCCACTCTCAGCAACAGGAATAGGGAAAAGGAGAGCAAGCATTCAGCAACCTTACTGAGAACATAAGAAATCACAGGGCATCCTTTTGCTTATGCCCTCAAAGCAGCCAACACTGCTGGACTCAAGTCAAACAGACCTCGTTCAAATTCTGACTCCAGAGTCAAACTATCAGGGTTGGAATCCTGACTATAACACTTACTGTGTGACCTTGAACCAGGTGCTTAACCTCTCTGAACTCATTTTTCTTATCAGTAAAAGGTTGGAGCTAGTTAATAAGAAAGCACTCCCTAAGGTTATTTGGCTAAGAAATTAGACAACGAATGTAAAGCCTTTAAGCCTTCCCTGGCAAATATTAACTACCCATACCCATTACCATTGAGTCGATTCTGTTTCACAGCGACCCTATAAGACAGAGTAGAACTGCCCCTACTGGGTTTCCAGGGAGCAGCGGGTGAATTTGAACTGCTCACCTTTTGGTTAGCCAACAAGCTCTTAACCACTGCGCCATCAGGGCTCCAAATATTAACTAGTCAATACATATTAACTCTTGGTAATATCAGAATATCAGAATCCCTGGGTGGTGCAAATGGTTAAGCGTTCAACTACTAGCCAAAATGTTGGCAGTTTGAATCCACCCAGAGATGCCTCGAAAGAAAGGCCTGGCAATCTGTTTCTGAAAGGTCATCATGAGTTGGAATCAACTCAGCCACCAGCAACTGATTAACCTTCCTGTGATACACAGTCACTGGGAATGGGGCAACTTATGTAGCCTGTTTTGAGAAGGTACAATTAGAAACAAGGCATCCTCTCAAACTCAGTTTTCTGCCTTTGTTTTAAGGCCCACCTCAGTGGCTAGCACAGCTCAGGAAGCTCCAGGCATTGCTGAGGACGCCTCACTGGTCACGGAAGCCCATCCATCGGTAAAAGCCCCACTTCCGCAATGGTCAGAAACATGAGCCTGAGAGGAATAAACAGTGGTGTTAAATGACTGAAGCCAGTCCAGGACTGAGAGGGGAAACGTCTTGCTAACTTGCTGCCAGTGCAAAGCACACTAGTAGTAAGCATTTAACGCACAGTAGAAATGACCTTACCCCACATCTGTTGTTTCCAGTTGCCATTGAGTCCATTCTGACCCATGGAGACCCCATGTATGCAGAGTAGAACTGCTCCATAGGGTCTTCAAGGCTGTGACCTTTCAGAATTGCCGAACCTACTTGCTCAGCTCACTTACTCTGGTCTGGTGACTGCTTTGATGTCTCTCTTCGCGCTGGCTTCTCAGCTCAAAATAGCCGGGTCTGGTGTTCCTCTCAAGGCAACTGATTTGTACATAACTTTGGAATGTTTGTCAGTGTTCACAAAATAAAACTGAGTAGTGCTCTAGTGCCTAGCTCAAACCTTGTTCACTAGTCCCTCTTTTCAAGTTCCCATTACCTGTGCAAAAGCTTCCTAGTTGATTAATCAAGTTGAAAATCTGAGAGCAGAAAATCTTGGTAGTTTGTATTCCAGGGTGAAAGCCAGCTCTCGCTGAAAAGCCATGACCATATTTGACCAAGAGAGTTCAAGTTCAGATCCTTCCCTTTGACAGAAAGGCTGTAACTGACTCTAACCAAGAGGAGGTAGTGTTAAGTCATATGATCATAAAGCAGCTACAAAGGTGATCTAGTCCCTTCTATGGCAATCAAATATCTGACACATTACCTGAAAAATATTTGGTATTAAAAAAGCATTTGGTGAATGTTAAATATTCAAAAATGGCCCCTCATCATATTACATAATTAACATTAACATTCACTAGTGAGAACTTCTCTTTGCCTACTTTCCTCAAGACAGAAACAGAGGCTGGGATTTATAGCCTAACAAGGAACCAGAAGATAAGGCCTTTAGTATCATCTGCTTTGGGCTTTTAACAGATGGCTAGAACAAGGGTGTTATAACTGACCTGTACTCCAAGTGAGTGTATGGCATGTTCTTGCTGTAACCATTAATTTGCTAGAATAGCACAATCTTCTAATATGTTCACGAAACTGATGAAATTATATATATTCTCATCAGACCATAAAACTGTTGTAAACTTCCCGAATACTGTGCTATAGCATGAGCTATCAAAATGCAATATTCATCCTGTAGACTGTGAAAAATTTTTTGGCTACGATATATCCAACAAGGGCCTAATCTCTAGAATTTATAAAATACTTCAGCACCTCTACAACAAAAAGAACAAATAAATCAATTAAAAAATAGGCAAAGGATATGAACAGACACTCACCAAAGAAGACATTCAGGTGACTAACAGACACATGAGGAAATGCTGGAGATCACTAGCCCTTAGAGAAATGCAAATCAAAAGCGCAATCAGATACTATCTCACATCAGCATTACTGGCAGGAATTTAAAAAAACAGAAAATAACAAATGCTGGAGAGACTGCAGGGAGATTGGAACTCTTACGCGCTGCTGGTAGTAATGCAAAATGGTACAACCATTTTGGACAATATGGTGCTCCCTTAAAAAGCTAGAAATAGAAATACCATATGATCCAGCAATCCCATTCCTAGGAATATGTCCTAGAGAAATAAGAGCCATCACACGAATAGACATATGCACGCCCATGTTCAATGCAGCATTATTCACAATAGCAAAAAGATGGAAACAACCTAAGTGCCCATCAACCGATGAATGGATAAACAAACTATGGTACATACACACAATGGAATACAATGCAATGATAAAGAACAATGATGAATCCACCAAACATGTCACAACATGGATGAATCTGGAGAGCATTATGCTGACTGAAGTAAGTCAATCACAAAAGGACAAATATTGTATGAGACCACTATTATAAAAACCCAAGAAAAGGTTTACACACAGAAAAAAACCATCTTTGGTGGTTATGATGGAAGGAGGGTTGGGGACGGGAAATCACTAAGTAGATAGTAAATAAGTGTTAACTTTGGTGAAGGAAAGACATCACACAATATAGGGAAGTCAGCGCAAATTGACCAAGACAAAGTCATAGAAGCTTCCTAGACACATCCAATCACCTGAGGGACTGAGCTACTGGGGCTGAGGGCTGGGGAGTATGATCTCGGGGGACATCTAGGTCAACTGGCAGAACACAGTTCATAGAGAAAATGTTCTGCATCCTACTTTGGCGAGTAACATCTGGGATCTTAAAAGCTTGTGAGCCACCGTCTAAGATACATCTACTGATCCCATCCCGTCCAGAGTAAAGGAGAAGGAAAAAAAAATCAAAGGCACAAGGAAAATATTAGTCTTAAGGACTAATGGACCACATGCACCACAGCCTCCACCACCCTGATCCCAGAAGAACTCAATGGTGCCCAGCTACCATCACCGATCCCTCTGACAGGGACCACAATAGAGGGTCCTGGACAGAGTGGGAGAAAAATGAAGAACAAAATTTAAATTCACAAAAAAAGACCAGACTTACTAGTTGATAGAGACTGGAAGAACCTCCGAGACTATGGCCCCCAGACACCCTGCTAACTCAGAACTGAAGCCACTCCGGAAGTCCACCTTTCAGCCAAAGATTCGACAGGCCTATAAAATAAACAATAACACCTGTGAGGCACGTGCTTCTTAGTTCAATCGAGTAGATGAGACCACGTGGACAACACCTGCCCAAAAGTAAAGCCCAGAAGGCAGGAAGAGACAGAAAAACTGGACAAACGGACTTGGAGAAACTGGGGTGGAAAGAGGGAGAGTATTGACACATTGTGGGGATTGCAACCAATGTCACAAAACAATTTGCATATAAATGTTTGAATGAGAAACTAATTTGCACATAAACTTTTACCTCAAGCACAATAAAATTTAAAATAAAATAGAAAATTTAAAAATGGAATATTCATACACAAGTAATCCAAAAAGGATTGCTTTCATGTTTATAGCTGTTTTTCTCAGTTTTTGAAAGAAGTAAAGGTTTCCTCCATAAACATAACTTAGTGTAAGTCCATCCAAGTATCTTTTGGGTGAGCTATAACCATTACATAGAATTATATTCTCTGGGAGTGAATGATGTCAAATCACGGCTCCTGGGAAGTATTTCGAGTAGGCTCCATTTCTTTCCTTTCCTATTTTAGACCAAGGTTTCATATCTGAATATACCTTTGCCTATAAATGATTAAATGGTCTATTCCTCTCTGACATTAGAGATTAGTGCACAGGGAAAAGAGAATTCTGTCCCTGATCATATTTGAAAAAATCTATCCATACCCACATTTCTATTGAACACTTTGAAAGAGAGTATATAAAATTAATAACAAGTCTAAAGAAAATTAGATATGGTGGATCAGTTAAGAGGGGGAGCAAAAAGATATGTTTAGTTTTGTGCAGGTTAAATACATTGGTCTCCTCCAGTGATGTTTTTCTGCTAAAGAATGTTGTTCTGCTAGGGATAATTACAGTAATAGGAATTAGGGTAATTTAAACTCTACTGGAAAAGGTAGTTAAGAGTCTTGCGCTGCAGAGAAATCCAAGAAGATGCTTAAAGTCCTGGCTATGTATGCGTCATTAAAATAACTATGCAGGTACCAAAGTAACTTTCTGCATTAATGGAATCAACAACTATGGATGAAACCATCAAAATGACCCAACTTATCCCATTAATTAGGGAGTTTTCACTTGCTATATGCTTAGATTGGAGCCCGAAATTTTATATTTGGACCAATGTGCCATCTCATTGCATCATTTTCCAATTCAGAATATTTGAACTTTTCTTTGAATATACAACTTGAGGAAGTAAATGTCGCCTTAGACACTAATTTTCCATGTCTAGCAAGTGACCACATTGGTATAATAATCTTGGATCCCTAGCTAGACCCAGTTTATGAAAGGGTGCCTTTTGATAGATTTCACAGTAGTCTGATTTTCATTTTGTAAATATGTGTCATTTTTTTAGTGTCTTTATTCATTCTCATTCAATGATGAAGTGAGTCTACTGTTCAAGGCCACAGGTTAAAGTCCAAGTAATGAGTCATTTGAGTTTGCCCCCTAGAAGGGTTTGCCAACAATGTAGATGAGTTTATCACTAGCACTTAAAATTATTTTTATTATTTATGCCCCATAACCTTTAATCTAATCTTCTTCTGCTAGTAAAGCTCTTATGTGCCATTGAGTCTCTACATGGTGAGAAAATGAAATATATGCAAAGACAGAAGGGCCGCTGTCGGTTTATAAGGTTTTTACTTTCTTCAGAGCATTTCCACGCAATCTCCTACGGTTCACAGAATAAAGCATATTGGCTATTGGCTAGTTATTTTTATCTCAGTTGTATAGATGAGAAAAGAAGTGTGAAGAAGTAAAATGTCATGCTTGGCAGCACACAACTGTTATATGCTGTAGTCAGACCTAGAACTCGGATCTCGTAACCTCTAGATCTATGATGTTTCTTCTTAAAAATGGAATCTAATAGAAAGCCCCATCAATATGGGTCCATTGATACTCAAAACGAGTCACTGGGTGGTGCAAACAGTGAAGCACTTGGCTGCTAACCAAAAGGTTGGAGGTTCTAGTCCACCCAGAGGCACCTCAGGAGAAATGCCTGGTGATCTACTTCTGAAAAATCAGCCACTGAAAACCCTATGGAACACAGTTCTACTCTGGACGAACAGGGAGTTGCCATGAGTCAGAATCGACTCAACAGCAACTGGAACTGGATACTCAAAATAGAAACTGAATGTGTAAAATTAGATAAAGTGTTGTTATACAAGGGCAACACGAGGGATCCTGTGGTAATGGAACTGACATATATCTTGACTATACTTGTTGATTACCCAGGGATGGTTTTGATCTTCATGTCCAGCACCGCCTCTCCAGGCCCCTTTTGTTCCCAGCTGGTTGATTTCCTGCTGGTTGAGTAACACTCCCCACATAATACCACCAGGTTACCTAAGAAGGAGGCTAAATTACAACCACATATGTGCAATCATTTCAAGGCACTAGTAGTTCCCTGAAAAAAGAAAACTTCCTTTCCACCACCTCCTCAATAAGGAAGTGGAAAGGAATTTCACTTAAGGAGATTGCGAAGTAGAAAGTGAATCTGCTCAAACTTACCCTTTACCTCCCAATTCCTGGCTTCAAATCACTATCTTACATCAGGAAATCTTTCAAGTAAATGAAAACAATGCAGTGTTGTGAAGGATGGTAGTTCGACCACAGACTCAGAGACACACACAAACCTGCTTTCTAAGACAAAGACAGGAGGTCCATTTCAGTACCGCCAGACCAAAATTTTGGATATCTGGTAAGGTCCAAGTCTCTGGGAAGGGACTCCAGAGGGAGAGGCTAGCACTGTGAGAGGTCACGGCAGAGATCCTAACAACGGGAATTATTTCTTGACTCTACAAAAATGTTTCTGTGATCTCTCCCCATGTATACCAAGATGACAGAAATAGATCAACATTCCCTAAAATATGAATTAGTTTTATGCTGGGAAATCTAAATTTAATTTAATTAACTATTTGGGCTTTGTAGAAAGTCATCCAATTCAGATTTAGAGAGTTATGAATCACCAGCGAAAAGAATCCATTTTAATGTGATTCTAGGAACTCATCAGACCAGCCAGTCCCAGAAGGGGCCCTGTTTTCTTGTTCTCACTGTACAGCTGTCACATGAATCTGTACCAGTCTGAATCTCAAAGGGAATTCCCCTACAAAGATTAAATAGCATAAGTGTCAACTGTCATTTCTTAGATTGCCATAAGCAGCAAATTTTACACCATAACTAAAAGACTACTTTTGATTTCTTTTTGGTGGAGGATTGAAAGAGGGTTAAGTTTTTGTTCATCTAGTTTTATTCAGCTTAAAGCATTTACTGATGAAGATCAAAGACTACAGCCTTCAATATGGATTACACCTTAACATAAAGAGAACAAAAATCCTTACAACTGGACCAATAAGCAACATCATGAAAAACAGAGAAAAGATTGAAGTTGTCAAGAATTTTATTTTACCTGGATCTACAAACAACACCCATGGAAGGAGCAGTCAAGAAATCAAGTGACATACTGCATTGGGCAAATCTGCAAAAGATCTCTTTCAAGTGTTAAAAAGCAAAGATGTCACTTTGAGGACTAAGGTGCTCCTGACCCAAGCCATAATATTTTCAGTTGCCTCACATGCACGCAAAAGCTGGGCAATGAATACGGGAGACAGAAGAAGAATTGATGCCTTTGAATTATGGTGTTGGTGAAGAATTTTACCATTAACTGCCAGAAGAATGAACAAATGTGTCTTGGAAGAAGTACAGCCAGAATGCTCCTTAGAAGTGAGGATGGCAAGACTTCGTCTCACGTAGTTTGGACATGTTATCAGGAGGAACCAGTTCCTGGAGAAGGATATCATGCTTGGTAAAGTATAAAACCCACTGAAACCAAATCCACTGCTGTCGAGTCGACTCTGACTCATAGCGACCCTATAGGACAGAGTAGAACTGCCCCAC